CAAAATGGCTCCAGGGTGGTCACAAAATGGCGGCTCGGTGAGGAGAACGGGGACGCGGTTTTGGAGGATTTTGGGAGGTTTAAAGAGAATTTTGGGAGGTTAAAGAGGAAGGGGGTGAACCCCGGACCCCAAAATGGCCTGAAATTGCCCCAAAATTCGCCTCAAAAAAGGCCCCAAAACCGGCTGGGAGCGACCCCGGCACCGGTGGCTCTGGGATAGAGGAAGGAAGGTGGGAAAGGGTTAAAAAATGGAAAGGATTAAAAAAGGAAAGGTTTGAGGAGGGGTTTTGAGGATTTTGGGGGGTTAGAGGGGATTTGGGGGCCCAGAAAGGCCCCAAAATCGCCTGAAATGGCCCCAAAATGGCTCCGGGACGGCCTCAAAATGGCGGCTCAGTGAAGAGCATGGGAACGCGGTTTTGGAGGCTTTCAGGAGGATTTTGGGAGGTTTAAGGATGATTTTGGGGAGTTAAACGAAAAGGGGGTTAATCCTTGACCCCAAAATTGATGGAAACGGCCCCAAAATGGCTCTAAAACGGCCTCGGGACAGCCTCAAAATGGGCCCAGATAGGCCCCAAAATGGCGGCGGCTCCGTGAGGGAGAGAACGAACGGGGACACAATTTTGGGGGGTTGGAAGAGAAGTTTTGGGGTTAATGGGGAGGAGGATGAACCCCTGACCACAAACCGGTCCCAAAATCACCTTAAAACGGCCCCAAAACAACCTCAGAGCAGGCCCGAGTGGGCCTCAAAATGGCGGCTCTGTGAGGAGGATGGAGGACGCAATTTTGGGGGGGGGTTCAGGAGGGTTTTGGGGCATTTCAGAAGATTTTGGGAGGTTTAAGTTGGATCTTGGAGGGTTAAAGGGGAAAGGGAAGAACCCCTGACCCCAAAATGGCCCCAAAATTGCCCTAAAATGGCCCAAAAAGGGCCTGAAAAAGGCCCAAGGACAACCCCAACATGGCGGCTCTGTGAGGAGGAGGAAGAAGTTAAAAAGGTTCCATCTAAAGAGAATTTTGGGGGGTTTAAGCAGAATTTTGGGGGGTTTAAAGGGAAGGGGATGAACCCCTGACCCCAAAACAGCCAAAAATGGCCCCAAAATGGTCCCGGAGCAGCCTCAGAGCAGAGGCTCTGGAAGGAGCAAGAGGATGGGATGGAATTTTGGGGGGTTTAAGGGGGATTTTGGGGGGTGAAAGAGGAGGGGGGTGAACAACCCCCAGCCCCAAAATGCTCTTGGGGTGACCCCGAAACAGCTGTGGGAGGGCAAAAGGACAGGATGGGCCAGAAAAAATGGGGTTAAAAATTGAGGTTTTGGGGCAGGGGGCAGTGGGGGAGCCCCTGGGGTTTAAGGGGGGGGTCCCATTGGGCCCCCGCAGTCCCTGTCCCCAAATTCGTAGGAGCTGGGTGGATCCAGGGGTGGATTTTGGGTGTGGGGCTGAGCCCCCCACTGGGACCCCGACCCCAAAACTACAACTCCCAGCATCCCTTGCGCCACAAAAAAAAAAAAAAAAAAGGAAGGTACGAACTACAACTCCCAGTGTCCCCTGCTGCTTACCACAGTCGCCATTAACTCCCAGCATGCTTTGCTGATGAAATGAGGAGCTGAACTACAACTCCCAGCGTGCCTTGCTGTGCAGTCAAAGCCCGGTTTAGGCCCCATCAGGCCTCAGGGCCCTCCCCAGAGTTGAGCTTGGGCCCAATTTGGAAATGGACCTCAAGTCCCAGCATGCCTTGCTGCATGCAACTGTTGAACTACAAGTCCCAGCATCCCTTGCTGTGTTTAGGCACCTCCTAGGTGTCAATTAGGGCTGGTTTTAGGCCCTCCTATTAAGCCCTGCAGCACCCCCGAGAGCTGAACTACAACTCCCAGAATGCGTCGATGCCTCCCAAGAACTGAACTACAGTTCCCAGAATGCCCTGCAGCCCCTCCCAAAGCAGATTTAGACTCCCATTAGGCCACTGTGGCCTCCGATTAGGAGCTGGTCTTAACTCCCAGCATCCTTTGTTACCCTCCCAGGACACAAACTACAACTCCCAGCATCCCCTGCTGACACAAGTCCAAAACTACAACCCCCAGCAGCCTTTGCAGCTGACTTGCCACACCCCCTTCCTTCCCAGCATGCCTTGAAGCCGCCTTACGGTCACCGAACTACAACTCCCAGCATGCCCTGCTCACCACCATCCATAAAACTACAACTCCCAGCATGCCCCACGGCCCCTCCCACCAACGGCTGCCATGAGGGGCAGGGGCCCTTCTAATTTTTGGGAGGGGTCCCTCCCCATATTTGGGGGCTTTTTCGGCCATTTTGGAGTGGGGGGTGCCTCCCCATATTTGGGGGCTCTTTCGGCCATTTTGGGGTTGGGGGGGGGGTCCCTCACCGCCCTCCAGCCGGTTTTTGGCAGGGGGGGTCTCAGCCATTTTCTGGGCGATTCCTCAGGGGCCATTTTTGGGGGGTCCTTCCCCAATTTAGGGGGGGGGGGTGTCCCTCACCACCACCACCACTCCCATTTTGGGGGAGGGGGGGATCCCTCACTGCCCTGGAGCCATTTTGAGGGGGGGCTCCTCCCCATATTTTGGGGAGGGGAATCCCTCACTGCCCTCCAGCCGTTTTTTTGGGGGAGGGGGTCCCTCCCTCATCACCATCACCCCCATTTTGGGGGGGGTCCCTCTCTCCTCTGCCTCATTTTGGGAGGGGTCCCTCGCCGCCATCGCCCCCATTTTGGGGGGGGTCCCTCTCTCCTCTGCCCCATTTTGGGGGGGTCCCTCACTGCCCCCTTTACCCCGCAGCCATTTTGGGAGTGGGGGGGGGGATTTGATGAGAACACAACAATTGGGGGGGGGTGGGGGTCTCTTAACCCCTCCCCCACCTCAGAGCCCCATGGGGGGTCTGCGCCAGTCCGGGCCCCTCCCCCAAGGCCCGGGGGGCTCCATGGGCTGCATGGGGGGTGGGTGATGAGGGGGCGGGGGGGGTTCCCCACCCCCACCCCTCCATCGAGGCAGGAAAGGCGGGGGTGGGGGGGGTGGGGAAGGGGCTCCCACGGGCCCCTCCCAAGCGGGGCCGGGCCCCCCCCAGAGCCAGGCCGCCCCCCC